TTAACATTGACGTTTTAAAGTATTTTTTTTTTCTTTTTTTTCTTTTTTGTTAAATTTTCCTTTTGTTAAATTTACAATAATAATAATAAAATACTGAATATTTTCAATTTTTAGTTTTACAATTTTAAATATTTCATGTTATTGTTAAATAATATGATTTTAACATACATAAGATAACGTTTTAACCGGAAACGTTATCTTATGTATGGTATGCGATGGTTTTACTCTACTAATCACAAAGACATCGGAACTCTTTATTTTATTTTTGGTTGTTGAGCAGGTCTTTTGGGGTCTTCTTTAAGAAGACTAATTCGCCTTGAATTAGGGCAACCAGGTTCTTTATTAGAAAACGATCAAATTTATAACACTATTGTAACTGCTCATGCTTTTGTGATAATTTTTTTTATAGTAATACCAGTATTAATTGGAGGTTTTGGAAACTGATTGGTTCCTATAATAATTGGGGCACAAGATATAGCATTTCCTCGAATAAATAATATAAGTTTCTGATTACTACCGCCTTCTTTAACATTACTTTCCGTATCAGCTTTTGCTGGAATTGGTGTTGGAACAGGTTGAACTGTATACCCCCCTTTGGCTGGTAACATGTTCCATTCAAACATTTCTGTTGATCTTGCTATTTTTAGTTTACATTTAGCGGGAGCCTCTTCTATTTTAGGAGCTATTAATTTTATTACTACTATTTTTAATATACGAACTTCTTCTATAAACTTAGATACTATCCCATTATTTGTTTGATCTGTTTTGATTACTGCGGTGTTATTATTACTGTCTTTACCAGTATTAGCAGGTGCAATTACAATATTGTTAACAGACCGAAATTTTAATACGTCATTTTTTGACCCTGCGGGGGGTGGGGACCCCATTTTATATCAACATTTATTTTGATTCTTCGGTCACCCTGAAGTTTATATTTTAATTTTGCCTGGTTTTGGTATAATTTCTCATATTATCAGTTTTTATTCAAATAAAAAAGAACCTTTTGGAACGCTAGGTATAATTTATGCTATAGTCTCAATTGGGTTTTTAGGATTTATTGTTTGAGCACATCACATATTTACAGTAGGATTAGATGTAGACACTCGAGCTTATTTTACTTCTGCTACTATAATTATTGCTATCCCAACTGGTGTTAAAGTATTTAGTTGAATGGCTACAATAAACGGAGCTTTTGTTGAAATAGATTCTCCAATATATTGAGCTATTGGATTTGTTTTCTTGTTTACTATTGGAGGTCTGACTGGTGTTGTTTTATCTAATTCTTCAATTGACATTATTTTACACGATACTTATTATGTAGTAGCTCATTTTCACTATGTTTTATCAATAGGGGCTGTATTTGCTATAATAGCAGGTGTGACCCATTGATTACCTCTATTATTTAACATTAAAATAAACCCAAAATTATTAAAAATTCAATTTTTTTCTATATTTATTGGAGTTAATGTTACCTTTTTTCCACAACATTTTTTAGGGTTAAATGGCATACCTCGACGATACTCAGACTACCCAGATGCTTATACAACATGAAATATTGTTTCTTCTTTAGGATCTTTAATCTCATTGCTTTCTGTAATGTTATTCATATGAATTGTATGAGAAAGTTTAATAAATACAAAAGTTTTTATTTATAATTATAATACTACTACATCAGTAGAATGGATAAATTTAACTCCAGTGTCAGAACATACTTTCAATCAATCTGTTTTAATTAACTTTAAATAATGCCAATTTGATCTTCTTTATCTTTTCAAGACAATATTTCTATAATAATAGAGCAGATTCTTTTTTTTCATGATCATGCAATAATTGTTTTAGTATTAATTACAATCTTAACCATATATTTAATAATTTCAATATTAATTAGTAAAAACTTCAATAAATTTGTAATAGAAGGACAAGAAATTGAAACAATTTGAACTGTTTTACCAGCTTTTTTATTAATCTTTATTGCTATTCCTTCCTTAAAAACTTTATATTTAATAGAAGACACTAAAACACCAAACATGACAATTAAGGTAGTAGGACATCAGTGATATTGATCATATGAATATTCATCATTTGATGAAATAAATATAGATAGCTTTATAGAAAACTCTAACATAATACGTTTATTAAAGACTACTGAAATATTGAAATTACCAACAAATACATCAATCCGAAGCATAATCACATCTTTAGATGTTATTCATTCATGGACAATTCCTTCAATAGGAGTTAAAGTAGACGCATTACCAGGACGATTAAATCAAATTTTTCTGTTTTCTAAACGAGTGGGTTTGTTTACAGGACAATGTTCAGAAATTTGTGGTAACAACCATTCTTTTATACCAATTTTACTTCAAATAGTCTCTCAAAAAGAAATATCTAAAACATTAATTAAATAAATCTTTAGTTAAATTTAATATAATTATGTCAAAATTAAGAAAATAAGATTTAATACCGCAAATAAGTCCTATTCATTGACCTTTTTTAGTTTTAACTTCTATTTTAATTTTTATAATTTTAATAAACAATAATATTGTTACGAAACAAAACAAAAATAATAATACCACAATCAAAAATACAAAAAAAACCATAAAATGATAAACAACCTATTTTCTATTTTTGACCCTAGAATTTCTTTCTTATCTATATCCTGAGTTATTTTACCTATATTAGTTATAATATTAAATAACAAAATATGACATATCTCAAGGCAAATTAAAAAAATAACAATGACAATTACAAAGATAATAAAAAAAGAAGTAAAATTTTCTTTAAACAAAACTGAATTAGGAACAGAAAATATCATTCTAACTGTATTTTCAATAATTGTTGTTATAAATGTTACAGCCTTATTTCCACAAGTATTTTCTGTTACTTCTCATTTAACATTAACTTTACCAATATCTTTATTATTTTGAATCTCCTTGATAATATTTAGTTGGTCTAAAAATACCAATCACATGCTGTCTCATTTATTACCTCAAGGTACTCCTATTGCTCTTATATTATTTATAGTTTTAATTGAAATAGTAGGTAATTTAATCCGTCCTATTACATTATGTGTACGACTAACAGCAAATCTGATTGCAGGACATTTATTAATATCATTACTAGGAAATTTTCTAATGGGAATTTCATTTAACGTAAGAATTGTTGTTATACTAATACCAATTATTTTAACAATTTTAGAAACCGTAGTTGCTTTTATTCAAGGTTATGTTTTTATAACCTTAATTACACTTTACGTAACAGAAACTAAATAATTATAAACAAATTTAACCCATTTCATCTAGTAGAAATAAGTCCCTGACCTTTACTAACATCTAATATAATCATATGTTTTGTTATATCTATATTATTAATATTAAACAAAAAAAACATTTTAATTACAATTTCAACAATTTTAATATTAATAATAATAAGATATGTATGATGACGAGACATTCACCGAGAATCCTCAAACCAAGGAAATCATTCAAATGTAGTAATAAATGGATTAAAGACAGGCATGGTACTATTTATTACTTCAGAAGTATTTTTTTTTGCTTCTTTTTTTTGATCCTTTTTTCATAGCAGTATTTCACCAGTACTAGAATTAGGACAAAGATGACCTCCTATATCAATCAATTCTTTTAACCCAATGAGAATTCCATTAATAAACACTATTTTGTTACTTTCTTCAGGAGTAACGGTAACTATTGCTCATCATGAAATATTAAAAAAAAATTTTAATAAAGTAAAAACATCATTATTTTTAACAGTTTCAATAGGTGTTATTTTTTCTGTATTACAAATATTTGAATATATAGAAGCTCCTTTTTCAATAACAGATTCTTCTTTTGGTTCAACTTTCTTTATGGCTACTGGATTTCATGGTTTACATGTTTTAATTGGATCGCTGTTCTTAATCGTAACAATAACACGAGTAAACCAAATAGTAAACAACCACTCTCACATAATTGGCTTTGAATGTGCCGCTTGATATTGACACTTTGTAGACGTAGTTTGATTATTTTTATATTCTATACTATATTGATGAGGAGCTTAAACTTTTTATAGTATATTAGTACATTTAATTTCCAATTAAAAAGAAAAAAAAAGAATAAAAATCAACTATATATGAATTATTGTTTTAATTTTAATTTTAATTATAACAACAATAGTAAAAATAGTAAAAAAAAATACTTTAATAAAAAAAGAAAAGTTAAGTCAATTTGAATGTGGATTTTTAAATATAAACCCAGCTCATATCCCTTTTTCTTTTCAATTCTTTTTAATTGCGATTCTTTTTTTAATCTTTGATGTAGAAATTTCAATAGTTTTATCTTATCCTATAGAAAAAATCTCTACAAAAGCTATTTTTATAATAATAATATTTTTAATCATTTTAATTACTGGGCTTATTTATGAATGACAAAAAAGAAAAATTGATTGATCAAAATAGATGGGAAAAATTTTTTGCAAAAATTTAAATGCTAATAAGCCCCAACTAATTATTATACCTGTATAAACACACTATTTATAAAAATCTAAACAATCAAATTAAACTAGAATTTTTATTAGTATTTAATTAATACATTAAGTTTAAACCTTAAAGAAAAGTTAAGAGTGTTAAAAATAAAGCCGCTAACTTTATAAAAGCTTAAACTACACTCTAATAGTTTAAATAAAACATAACTTTTTCAAAGTTAAAAATTAATAGGGAACTAATAATTATTATCTAATTGTTTAAATATTAGTTTTATTTTAAACAAAAAAGTCCCCAAAACATAAGTGTAATTATATAAAACTATATTTATAAAACAACTAAAAATTCTATTAACCAGACTTATTTATGAATTACAAAAAAAATAAAACAATATTTAAACAATAAAAACCTGGTTTATTAATCCAATACCAAAAAAATTTAATTGAATTTTTATTAGTATTTAATTAATATATTAAGTTTAGGTCTTAAAGAAAAATTAAAAATATTAAAAATATAAAACTTAAAAATTCTTCAGTTCCTTCAAAACTAACGTTAAAATAACTAAAAAAGTATGTTTAAAAAAACAAAAAAATCAACATAAAACTAACAAGAATAAATAACCCTAAAGAATATTTTTTTAAAATATCAAACAAAAAAACAACATTGAAAAGAATTTTATATAATCCTCCACCACCTACAAATTCCATCCAACTTGAGTCTACCTTCATAAAATTTATGTGTTTAAAAAGAAAAGAAGTTCCCCCGGAACTAAATCAATTCATAAAAAAAATTTTTCTTAAACAAAAAGAAAAAATATAAATAAAATCCAAAATAAAATAAAAAAAAACACCGCTCATAATTAAAAATAAACCAAAAAACAAATCAAAAAAACCAAAAAAAACCAAAACCTCAGAAAAAAACAATCAATAAAAAAAACCTCCTATAACCCAACATTTAAAAAACAAAAAAGTTACCGGAATAAAAAAAAACCAATTTTCAGAAAACAAAAAATAAGAAAAAAACTTTCCTATAAAAAAATAACCTATAACAATTAAACGTAATCTATATATAATTGTAAACAAACAAGCTACTAAAAAAGTGTAAAACATTAAAAAACCAGAATAAAAATTTATTCTATTAATAATAAAATCCTTAGAATAAAAACCAATAAAGAAAGGAAATCCTATTAAACAAAAACACCTAACAATAAAATACAAAAAAGAATAATAAGAAAATGAAATATTACCATAAAACCGAGAATCTTGGGATCCTGTTAAATTTCTTATTAAGCTACCAGTTCTCAAAAATAATATACTTTTAAAAAAAGCATGAATAATTATATGGATAAAAGAAAAAATTCAACAACCAATTGAAATGACAAATAATATAAAACCTAATTGTCTAAGAGTAGATATGGCAACAATTTTTTTAAAATCTTTTTCAAAATTAGCGCAAATCCCAGAAAGTAATATAGTAAAAATAGAAAAAATTTTAAAGAAATCATAATATAAAAAATCAAAAATATAATGATAACGAATAATTACATAAATACCTGCTGTTACTAAAGTAGAAGAGTGAACTAAAGAAGAGACAGGAGTGGGTGCTGCCATAGCCGCTGGTAATCATGCAGAAAAGGGAATTTGAGCCCTTTTAGTAATAGCACCAAAAAACAAAAAAATCAAAATAAGAGATATAAAAGAGGAAAGTCTAAAAAACTCAAAATTTCATCATCCACCAACAGAAAAAATAAAGAAACAAACCAAAAAAAATACATCACCAACCCGATTTCTAAAAACAGTAATTAAACCAGAATTTAAGCTAGAAGAACTTCTATAAAAAATAACTAAACAAAAAGAAACTAAACCAAGACCGTCTCAACCAACCATAGTAACAAAAAAGTTACCAGAAAAAACCAAAATAAATATAGAAAAAACAAACAGTACAACAAGAAAACCAAAACGACGTAAATCAAGATTCCCTTCTATATAATATAAACTATACAAAAAAACAACAAAAGAAATTATACTAATCCTAAAAAAAAATCTAACAGAAACATAATCAAAAATAAAACAAAAAGAAATCTCGTAACCCATAACAGAAAATAACAAGTAATCAATCATAAAACCCCCAAAATAAAAAAACCAAAAAAAACCAAATAATAATAAAATACCTGTTAAAAAAAAAGAAATACTAAATAAAAAAAACATTAAAATTAAAAAAAAGAAACACTCAAAACAAAAAAAATTAGTTATTTTTAACACCTAAAGAACCACAATCAATTATTCAAAATTAAACTAAATAACTATTAAATAAAAAACCTCACTAAAACCGAAAAAAATAATATAGGAAACAAATGACCAAAAAAAACCAAATATTCACGAATAAATAATAAAAACCCAAAATTAAAAATCACCCCAATACCATGGTTAGAAATAATATACAAATAAATACAATAAACACCAGCAAAAAACAAAAAAACTATACAAAAAAACAAATTATATAAAAAAACATACCCCAAAGACAATAAAATAAAAACCTCAGAAAAAAAAGAAAATCTAGGGGGAATTCCTATATTAAAAGAAAAAAATAAAAATCTAATAAAACCTAAAACCGGAAAAAAATAAACACTACCTTTTAACAACAAAAAACTACGTGAATGTAAACGTTTGTATAAAACATATATAATATAAAATAAGCAAGAAGAACAAAAACCATGTGCCACTATTATAAAGACAAAACCTAAATAACCAAAATATAAATAAGAATAAACTCCTGCTAAACCAAACCCTATATGACAAATTGAAGAATATGCAATAAAAGATTTTAAATCAACCTGACGTATGCATAAAAAACAACTTAACAAACCTCCTGTTAAACCAATGGAAATAAAATAACCTGAATACTTTCTTAAAAAACCAAAAAAAAAAAAAGAAAATCGTAAAAATCCAAAACCTCCTAATTTAAGCAAAACACCAGCTAATAGTATAGAACCTCTTACTGGAGCTTCTACGTGAGCTTTTGGTAACCAAAGATGTACTCCATAAACTGGTAACTTAACTAAAAAAACCAAAAACAAAAAAGCTCATCAAAATTTACCAAAAAAACTAATAAACAAAAAAGAACTTGTATTAAAATCTACTCCAAAAAAAACCAAAAAAACCAAAAACGGAAAAGAAACAACGATAGTATAAAAAACTATATAAAAAGATGCTTGTAACCGTTCTGGTCTATAACCCCAACTCAAAAGAAACAAAAATATTAACAAAAAAATAAATTCAAAACTAAAATAAAATAAAAAAACATTTAAACAAGAAAAACACAAAAACAATAAAAAAAAAATAAAACTTAAATAAAACACATAACTAAAAAACATATTGTTAAACCACTTATCTATAAAATTTGCCATAAAACAAAAAAAAAAAACAAAAAGACTTAAAATCATTAAATAAAAAGAAACCGAGTCTATGAAAAAAAACCTACTTATGTAAAAACTTCCGTACGAAAAAAGCAAATATAGACTTAAAACAAATAAAAAACAAAAAACAAAAAACAAATCAAAAAAACCAAAAAAAACCAAAAACAAAAAAGAAATAATAAAAAACATTATATAATAAAACCTAAAATTCAAAAATCCTTCCCAAACTCTCGAGAAAGATTAACTAAAAGAGAAATACCAAAACCTCCCATACAAACTAAAACTAATAAGTAAACAAACAAAGATAATAAACCAAACTTCAAAAAAATTCTAAATCTAAATATTAAAAAAATACTAAACAAAAAAAATTCCAAAAAAAGTAACATAAAAATATAATGCACATTATAAAAAATAAAAACAAAAAATCTAATAAAAACAATAAAAAAACAAAAAAACAATCCTAAAAAGTTAATAAAAGAACATTGATTTTGTAAATCAAAAGGAAAAAAAGGAATGTGTTAGTATTAATACTAATTATGTTAATAACTATAACAAAAATAAAAAATCCAATTTCCATAGCAATTGTGTTATTACTAATTTCAATTATTTCAACAAACATAATTTACAAAGAAATAAGATCTAGGTGATTACCTTTCGTTATTATTATTACTTTTTCTTCAGGTATAATAACATTATTTATATATACAACATCTTTGTCATCAAACGAAAAGATAAAAACAAACAAATTAAAGATAGTAACAATATTAATAATATTAATAATAATTATACCAAATATAAAAATAAACAAAATCAATATATCAATAAAAATATTTTCTAGTCAAACCATTATATTATTTATAACACTAATATTAATCATTACGATAATATCTGTAATCATACATAGACACAGCCCAAACCAAACACTAAACAATACCTTCTAATAAAATCAAGAATTGTTATAATAAACCCAGTAACTAAACTATTAAAAAAATCATTATTAGATCTCCCAACTCCTACTTCTATTTCAATATTATGAAATATAGGATTCATGTTAGGATTAACATTAACAATACAAATTTTAACAGGTCTCTTCGTATCCATAACATATACTGCAGATGTTAATTTATCGTTTTCAGTCATGCTTATGATCATACGAGATATTAATATAGGATGAATTACGCGGATAGTTCATATAAATGGAGCTTCTTTATTTTTTGTTTTATTATATATTCACACCGCACGAGGTATTTATTTCTCTTCTCCATCAAATCAAAAAAAAGTATGATTAACAGGAATAATTATTATATTACTAACAATAATAACTGCTTTTTTAGGTTATGTTTTACCATGGGGGCAAATATCATTCTGAGGAGCTACTGTAATCACAGGAGTTATGTCAGCAATCCCATTAATTGGACAAGATCTTGTGATATGGGTATGAGGAGGGCCTTCTGTATCTCAACCAACACTAAATCGATTTTTCTCATTACATTTTATAATACCAATAGTAATTATGTTAATTATAATAATCCATTTAATAATACTACACGAAAAAGGTTCTTCTATACCAACAAATATTCTTAGTAATATAGATAAAATAAAATTTAATCCTATATTCACACTTAAAGACATACTACCAACTATATTAACAATAACAATATTAATAATAATAGTATTAAATGCACCAAACCTTTTAGGAGACGTTGAAAACTTTAATCCAGCAAATCCACTAATTACTCCAGTGCATATTCAACCAGAATGGTATTTTCTATTTGCTTATGTAATTTTACGTTCAATTCCATCTAAATTAGGAGGAGTATTAGCTTTAGTAGCATCTATTTTAATTCTAGTAATACCAATAAACAAAAAAACCAAAACATCAAAATTTTCAATAACACAAAAAATAAAATTTTGAATATTAGTAACAACAGTAATTATTTTAACATGAATTGGAACAAAATCTGTAGAAAAACCTTACGAAACAATCGGACAAATTTATACAATTTTATACTTCTACATAATAATAGTAATATAGTTTTCTAAAAATAGGCCTTGAAAACCAAAATAGATTTTAATCTAGAAAACTAAAAAAAACCAAAAAAAGAAAAAATTAAAAAAAAAATTGAACAGAAGAAAATAACAAAAAAAAAACAGATGTTGGTAACAAAATCTTCCAAGAAAAATCCATCAAAAAATCATAACGATACCGGGGAAAAACACATCGAACTCAAACATAAAAAAAACAAAACAAAAAAATTTTTAAAAAAAAAAAACTGCCTCCAAAAAAAACCAAAATACTAAAAAAAGATATAAAAATAATTATTCCATATTCACAAATAAAAATTAAAGAAAAAAAACCACCACCAAATTCAACATTAAAACCAGATACTAATTCAGATTCCCCTTCTGAAAAATCAAAAGGAGTACGATTACTTTCTGAAAAACAAATAACCACTCAACAAAAAAATATTAATAATTTAGAAACAATAAAAAAAAATAAATTACTATTAATAGTACTAATCGCTAATTTAGCAGGAATTCCTCCATTACCTGGATTTATCGCAAAGTG